TCTTGAGAACATTTACGATCTTGATCGCGATTTGTAGCTAGTTTCATTCACCGCACGAAGCGGAAAAATACTTTTTCATATAAATTTTGAGTATACTTTGGTTGTCATCAAATAACTTCTAGTCGGAGGAACGAAAATTTGGGGAATTAGGGACTATACGAAGAAAGAACTTCAAAAAAGGTCTTTAGGAGTACGGCTCACTTCGTAAACTTTTTGAAAAAAGGGCGCGTATAGTGTGCAGTAAAGGACGACTCGACTGAACTGCGATGGAATAAGACTCCAATATTACCTGCTACGCGACCTACTCCGCTTTCGCCGCTTTAGATCGAAGTCATCAGAATTTTTACTGTTGGTGCCACTTTTTTCGGAATCATCACCATTTCTACCTGGAAGCATATTACAATTTGCTAGAGCAAGTCGCAAAAGGTGGTGGTAATTCTCAACTCACCAGACCGTCGTGAGCTTGCTTCAGCCGCATTATTCCCGTCTCCTTTTGTTGAGGATGATTCTGAACCACATATCACTAATATCTTATTGACAGTGAAGGAAGAACTTTGTCATAAGGTTTCGAATTGCGAAAGGTGGCGAGACTTAGCGCTCCAAGAATGAGTACGGATAACATACCTGATGAGTTGGTCGTTTGCTTACTACTCTTTCGTGGCACCCCTAGTGGAGTTTTGAATGCGCCAACATCCTCGCTGGACTCACTCGAAGGTGTTGCTACTCCATCCGCGCGGTTTTTTCCATCTCCTTTAGATTCCTCACCACCATCACTGTCATCATCGCTCTCGTCGCCTCCGCCTGTCATTGACTGGCTATCGTGCAATAAAGGATAGGAGAATAAGCAAAAAAAGGAAAAAAGGTGAAAAGGAAATTGTTGACTTGCTCTGAATGAGAACGAGTATTTTGAAAAATGCCATGTCGAACATGAGTTTTTATGATTTTTATCCGTAAAAAATAACAAGAACAATGAAACAATCAAAAGATCGCAAAAGAGTGAAGCGCGAATTTCGCGCAACAGAGTTGCCAAATTATCGAAAAAAGTTCGAGTTA